TTCAGAGGTGTATTTATGAAGGATACTTTACCAGAAAAACGTAAAGAAGTAGAAGTAGGCATCATTAATCTTGATAGTTCAGATAATAAAGGTACTCATTGGGTCTGTTATAAAGTAAATAAAAGTGAATATTATTATTTTGACTCTTTTGGTTTGGACCCACCTCAAGAAATAATAAAATATCTTAAACATAATACTTCAAACGAAATAATTACTTCAACGTTTCAAATACAAAAATTTGATACTCATCATTGTGGATACTACTGTCTACTCTTATTAAAATTATTAGAAAAACATGATTATAAAAATTCTATTCTAACTCTGATTTAGGAATTCTATAATGCTCGAAAGCTAGAGTGTCTATATTATCTACTGTATACCTTTTTGATTCTTTATCTTTACCAACTAGATTATTTAACACAACTTTATTTTGTTTTACACTGTGGAGATTATGTCTGCTAGAGTTAATTAACATTTGTTGTCTTCTTTCAATAGTATGATTTAATAAGCAGTTCTTATAGTCATTAAAAGTCATTTCCTTTTTAACAACAGATTTCTTCACACCTTTATTTCTTTTAGACTCCATTCCCTCATCAGTTTTAAAAGCATATTGTTTTGGTCTAAAGGCTACAATCTCAGTCATTATTTTACCATTCAACTCATCTTTAAATTTACCAATAACTTTTTTGTTCTCAATGCTATGAAGTTTATTTTCTTTTGGATAATCCGAAAAATCAAAGTGTTCTTTCATAGCTAACATATCTTCATAAACATCGTCTGTTTTAATTTCATAAATATAAGAATCAGTATCTTGATAGCACAGTCTCAAATTCGAAGAATATTTTGGAAGCATCACATCATAGTGGAACTCATACATTAGATACTTGCTCAAATCTAAAATAGACATCCCCACATAAATTGGCTTATCTAATTTAATATTCTTCTGAGTCATCTCTACTAAAATCATATTCTCATTTATAATATGTCTCTGTTTAAAATTATTGCTAGCAGCTAGTTTCATAACTTTATCCATATTTGACACCACTTTGACATCCACTCTATTTCTAACGTTCTCCATAGTTTTACCAAAGACAGAATTGTTCATGAGCTTGAAAAAGTCTTTCTCAAAATCATTCTTGGCATTTTTTCTCAAGTTAGTATTCAGTTCTATGTAAGAAGATAACCAATTGCTTTCTTTAAAAGTAATAACTCTATGAATTTTCTTCAAAATTAATCCATGATCTAAAACTTGCAAAAGGGCTTTATAATGTATTACATAATTTCTCTTTGGACTAAAATCATTTATTAGTTTATTGGTAGATCCAACTCGTTTATTCTCTGGACAGAAAGGTAAATCATTATGTTTATCATGTAATTC